TTTGTATTTTAAAATGTATAGCTTTCTAATTAGCTGCATTGTACAACACTTAGGAACTGTGGAAGATGGTTCTTTCATCTGTTTTGGATAATGTATTATTATTGAGGTTGTTAATACTGACAGAAACTGCAGTGTTTATTCTAAAGGCTTAGGAAAGGCAATTAAAATGAATATTCAGAAAATATATAAAGCCACTTCTTTCCCAATAAAATGACATCTGCAAAATGCGTAAGTGAGCAAAGGTGAGTCCTACGTCAACACATTTTGTTTGTATAACTGAATGTCATGCTCAAGTCATGGATTAAACTGGACCTTTAAAAAATGAGGTGCCCCCAATGAAAAGCAAGGTGTGAATATCTCACTAATGATCATGGGGTAAACAGACATACAAAAAAGAGATGTTAACACAGTTGGTTTAAGACCATCCCATAGGTTTGTTACTAATTTCCTCCACAAGCCAACGTATTTTCATTTTAGTTTCATCCAGTCACAAGTAAGATTCACTGGATATTACATGAAGTTACTAGAATAGGATTTTTTCCCCCTTAACATTTGGAACTATTTCTCGCCCGTTTCCATTCCTCCAAGATTTAACAGCTTTCCCTTTGCTTCAGACTCAGCAGAGGACAGAAAGTGGACAGATGTTTCAGACACAGGTGATGAGGTCACATCTCCTCCTGTGCTGCATTACAGACTGTACTATGTGTATTGAAAACAGATCCAAATGAGAAATCAGATTCATACTCCTCCAGAGGACATTAAAGACAATGTTTCGCTGATCTATTTCTCACACACATCTATATTCTTACCCTTCAGGCCCAACAGCAGCCAGCTGCTACTAGGCAGCACCCAAGTCTGCCTTATTTTCTCCTTCACTGCAGCAGTTTTCCAAGAATATATTTTCCTATCATGGATTCTTTTACCCTCATACAATAATTGCACATTACAAGGATGCTTTTTCAAAGCTTGCTTGGTGATATACTCCCACAGCCCTGCATCTGAACTCTCTTAGACCCCACAGAGCTGCCATAAAGCTCATAGCAGCAAGGTCAGAGTAAAGGTTCAGAAAAAAACAATGCAATCACTGCCCCATACAAATACTTCATTAAGCACCAGGAAAGTGCTTTATTAATGTGGTCCCCTCTCTCTACGTATACGTATACGTATCCACAGTTATGGATGGGTCTCAGCACACAACTCATCACTAACTTAATCTGCAAAAGACTATGACTACAACTAGGTAAGATGCCAAGATCCTTATGCAGCAGAAGCAACACTGCATGCTTATTTGCACACAGAATTTATTTCTATGCACACAGTAAGAAGACTGATTCCTACAAAAGCAATTTTTGCTGGCCAGTTTTTTGCTGCTAAACCTATCATACGGTTTGTTCTGGATTCTCCTGCTTCTACTTACCTGCAGATACTAAGTGAACTAAATACTGCTACTCTTACTAATTTTTCATTCATGGAGCAGAACAAATTGCCAACTCTCCAAGAATACGTATGATCCTATTTTAGATGTTAAAGTGCATTAAATTTTTAATTTAAGAACTAAGGCTATTAGCCGAAGACCATTTGCCTGGTGTCATTTTAATTAATTTCTAAATTGGAGAAACACTGGCTTGTGAGGACATACAAAATGGAATGTCTAAAATGCAGAATACCAAGGACTGTCAAACTACTGAAACTGCTCCACCTCCCTAACCCCACCTATACTTCTGAACACTGTGGTACTATATCAGCTTGTACAGGACACACAAGAAATGCCTCCTGGAATATGGAACACTAATGCTCAAAGGGAGAAAAGGATGGAATTAGGGAGAAAAATAATCAGAGGAAAGACACACAAATTAGAAAACTTCCGGTAATTCGTAAGTATAAAATACAAAGTCAAAAAAAATCCCCTCTGGTCTGAGGCTTCGAGTGTTAGTTAATATGAACTCTAATTATTTTTGCAGTTTGGTATTTTTATTAAACATGCACTGAAATATGAAACTTCCAGCTAATAGAAGACATGTGTAGGTAGACAGCATTCTTTCTGGCATTATTCCACTAGTCCCATGAACAACGACGCCAGAAAAGGAACCTAAATTCAGTGCAACTACCTGGATAGGCAACTCAAGAGGGGAAAAAGAAGTTAAAATCAACAACTGGCAGCATTCTGCAGAGAAGCTGGTATTTATTACTACTGTTACAAAGCTTAAAACACATATATTCACCTTGGAAATTTTACTGATAGAATTTCACAGCAGATTTATGCCATTTTATGCTTTAGTTCATATGAAGCTAACATATACTTTGTAGCCCCAGCTTTTGTAAACCTTTTACTTGTAACTGAGTGAAACCCTGCTTCAGGTGGCAGTACTAAACCTCACCTGAATCGAGAGATTACCCAACATCTGTGAAGTGTACAGTAACAGATGAAGAACAGCAGCACGAGATGAATTTTCAAAGGGAACATTTGGTAGCCAAGCTAAAATCTATTACCATTAGTAGTGAGCTAAAAACATTCAGTAACAGAAGTGCCACATTATTCACTTATCAATATTCTTCCGTGTACTCTGGCAGCATGTATTAGAGTTCAAAACATGGAAGAAAAAGCCACTCTCCTGAAAAGTAATGGACAGGTGGGAAAACTACATAAGTCTCCTTGCTCACAAGCCATGTACAGATGATTGCAAGCTACTGGATTGTTATGACTTACATTACCACTGAACCATATCATATGACAGGTTTTTGTGCTCTTATCCCACTGTAAGTGCCAAAGAAAATGTATTAGATTCAACTTCCATTCTCAAACCACAAACACGGTTTAGTTTAACTCATTTTTCCTTGCAACTTTTATGAGCTAATAGCTCAAAAAATGGTCATTTAGCACAGATCAGCTGATGAGCAGCAAACAATTGAGGCACAGAGCTCCCCTCTATCCCCTCATGTTAACAGACACGCAGAGCTGTTATAAGGAATCATGTGAGTGCTACTCATCCACTTCAGTGCAAAATAAACCCATGTGGCTTAAACTGCTGATGAAGGGCTCAAAATTAACGCCGAATGAGATAAAAATCCCCTAAATATTTGCTTGCTCCTATTCTTTGCTCCACTGGAAAACAGTTGAGCAGCAAATACCTCTGGAGGAGCTTGAGGGTTCCTGGGGATTTGCAGAGATTCCAGCTGAAGCGTGACAATGCCTGTTGATGCTCAAGAGGAAGCAGTTACTTTTTTATACCAAACGCAGCTGAGGGCGCGAAGAAAAACCAGCCACAACCACTTTGTTAGAAGCAAGATGTCAAATACGACATACAAATAGTACATATACATAGTACTTACACAAATATGTACTATGCCATAGTACCTATGCCTTTTTATAGATAAAGTGATGCTGATTTCAACAAACAACAACAAAAAGATTAAATCATATTTTTCTTCCCTATCTTGTACTCTCATACACCTCAACAAATACGTATCATGTTCTATATATACGCAGAGACATGTATGCACACATTTACAAACACGTACTTGTAGAAAACCTTTCTTCCAGAGTAGCCTTATTCTGCGTGTACTAATGCAGCTGCTCAGACAACCAGCAAGACTCCACTTACAGACATTTAGAGTGTGTAAGTCTTTTACTCCTCTAGAGTTTACAGTTTTGTACTTTATAACTACTTTAGCATGAGACATAGCTGAATGCCACTTTTGTATGAAAGAATTTGCATCTCCTGCCTATCAGAGGTGGTTCAGGAAAATATAGTCATCCAAACACTTCACTTAAAACCAGCATGAACTCAAAACATCTTAAGTAGAAACAAGCAGTGTAGTTTAAGAAAGATGCAATTTGTGGATACTTGTTATGAATAGATATTTCAAGGGGAAAAATAATGGTACTGAGCTATAATATTTTTTAAAAAGTAACTTAATCTATGTCACTAACACCACCCAGTATTTGCCTTTAAAGAAGGTATTTGGACATCAGGATTTCACAAAGCAGGAAGAAAGAACAATAAGTACTGAAACAAAGGTTCTAACATGTCTCCGAATAAAACCACCTTTCCTAGTGTCACTGCCATAAAAGTATTCCTGATTAAAGTGTCAGCAAAGAACTGGGTTTTTATTTTTTGAATACAAGTCAGATTGCTTCCCCACATGAATATATGTGGTCAAAAGTTCAGAGTACTGGTAGCTTCCCAAAGCCTTTGACTTCAAGAACCTTTATGATGTGAGCCGCTTCATTTCAGGGCAAGATTCATGTTCTAGCCATATGTCTCACAACTTATTAATATTCAACAGCAACAAAAAAAAAAAAATTCAAAACACATTTATTCAAGTGGCCTGGCTAGAAAGCTTCTTACAGGAACATTTCTGTGCTGTGGATATTTTAATATAGCTCAACATTTAGTAAAGTGCAGCTGAGATCAAATGTTAGGAAATTTGCTGACACCTGACATGGAAAATTTGCTAATTTAATCACTTATTGACTTGTCACTCAAAGTAAAAGCTTCTTTTTCCTACCTCATGTATGCATAAGCACCTAATAAAGCCATCTTATCAAAAAGAACAAAAGCAGATGTGAAAGTTCTGTTTCTCCCAAGACAGCCATATAATGAAAAAATATCTGCTTAAACCTCGGCAATAAATGTTCTTCGGTTAGCATGGACTGCAGTCCACATCCGGCCACAATGACAGTTGATAACAGAGAAAAGAACATACTGTACACAATCTAATCAATCCAGTTAGTAGATGCGAGAGTGAAGAGGCCAAAGACAAGAAGGTATAAACTGCAGGGATAAAAGCATCTTACAGGAGTAATGAAATAAGCTTGGGCAAATAGCTTGAGTCCACATACAAAATACTTAGCTTACATTTTATCGTATTGTTTATTTAAACAGAAAGACCAGAACAGATTTTGCTCTTTAAACCAGCCACTAATCACGTGAGATCATTCCAACTGCAGTGTTAATTTTAAAAGTAAAATTATGCTTAAAAATCAGTTATGCTCCTACCTGCCCATCTTGACCCACATGAACTTGATGTATCTGCAGGTTTCCCTATAAAATAAGAGCAGTGACAATAAACATGACTTTGGAATTTTAAAAGTTGCTCTGTCCTGAAGAGGGCCTGTTTCTCATCTCATTATTAAACAACTATTAATCTATTAATTTAGGCAATTCTGCTGAGGGTTATCTTGGCAATCCAGCTGCAATTCAATGGTCAGCACTTTAACCACAGAGGATAAACAGACTAAAAAGCAAGGAGGCTTTTCAGCACCAGCATGTTCTGCTTTCTGAAAGTTACTGTATGATGTACAATATTTTTATGCAGAGTTTGTTTGCATGGTTTTTGAGGTAAGTTTTGGGGTTTTCCTTATTTATATAAAACTTCATATTTACTAAACTAGAATTAGCAGTATTAACACTTTCACATGTGTGGAGCAGTATCTACCATTGGTTGTTATAAAGTTACTGCTCGTGCTACTAAATTTTTTTACTTTATCAAAATTTGATAAAGACCAACATAGTTCTGCCACAGAAGTTACATCTGTTACCAAAAAATATCTCAGTATTGTAGAGTATTTAAAGGAAACTGTAGCTACAAAGTAAAAAAGGACAGCAGTACCTTTACAAAATGAAGCTTTTACTCATATGCTCAGACATGTCTTTTCAGAAGTATACTTAGATTATAAACACAGGTTCCCAAACACAGACACATGCAGTGAAATAGCACATTTCTTTCAAGAAAAAAAACCCCACCAGTTCTTTGATTTGCATATTTTCTGCATTTTCTCTTACTGGCAGCACTTCCTCTTATTTGAAGCTGTGTACATTGTAATAAATTTAAAACCAGATGTTTTCATCTGTTTAAGGACAGATGTGGTCCTTTAAAGTCATACATACAGGAACTTCAGAGGATGCCAATGTACACTTTACGATCAATCACAATTAGTATCTGCTGAATCATATTTTTTTCAGTGTCTCTACCCAAGAACTGCTTTAGTTTTATTGTAGCACACTGTGCATCCCTTTAGATCCAGAACATTTTGATCCTTTTCTCCCTAGGTCTGAGGAGCTTTTCAAAGGAGACTGCCTTTAACTATAATATTTATATAATATTTACAATAATATTTATTCTACAATAGCTCCCTTTGTTAACAGTACTCCTCCTCTCCAAAAGTGGTTTTATGAGATGTGATTTAAGGTACTTTGGAAATGGATTAAACCTACCCACCAGCAGATGTGCTTAACATTGAGTAAAAAACACTACAGGGAAATCACAGATTAAAACTGCAGGCTGCATTTATGTTCAGCCTTATTCAGCTATTGCTTCTTCACGTAAACAAAGCACACAAGAAATCAGCAGTCTTAGCAGTTAGGAGTCTCTATGGATTTTCAAATGGTCTGGTGTGAGTCATCCCTGCCCATGGCAGGGGCTTGGAGCTAGATGATCTTAAGGTCCTTTCCAACCCAAACCAGTCTGTGATTCTATGCAATAACCAACAACAGCACTCTCACCCAAGTAAATTCAGCCAGCTTTAACAGCTGTCTTGCCTGAGTAGGGGAAAAAAAGTCAAAATTAGAGGGTTCACTACTGGATTTTCCCTTTGCATTCTGCTATACTATTATTATGGAAAAAATTATGAAGTGCAAATACTGCAGTGTCAGATTACTTGATCACTTCACTTCATTCTGCAATGTATCTTTACTGGACAGAGTCTAAACGTTTCTCCAAGTCCTGTTCAACAGTTCCCACAGTTAAAGACACTGAGTATTCTGAACACATTGAGTTCATAAGCCTAACTAAAATAATTTCATTTCTCAAAGGCAGTGCAAATACCTAAGCTGGTTTCTCATATTCTGTAAGTACTAAATTTCCAAAGACTGTCAGCCATATACAACAGTCATTCATGTAACACACACAGAGAGTTGTCTTGATTGGCCAAGGAAAAAACCAATGCAAACACACAAAAAGAAACTCGCAACTCCCCCAGAGACAGAAACAGCATATTGCATTTACTGCCATAAAGCTCATTTCATCCTGGCTCCACCTCATGCTCTCACTTCTACCCCTGCTGGTCTCTGTAGAGCATTGTAACAAATCCCAGAGGTTCAGTTTTAGACCTGGGGCCCTAAATTCTGGCCAACATCTTATCCACAGGTACTCAAACTTTTGGCTCACCTCACTGTCCTGCGTGATTTGGACTTGCTCGCCTTGAGGAACCTGGGCTATGTGGAGATGGCCCTGTGGGATCCGCAACAAAAGAAAACACCAAGAAGCATCAGAAGACAATCATAACTAGAGGAAGAGGCTACTACCTTGGATTCAATACAGTTTAACGTACGGAAGCAAAATGCTTATTCAATGAAAACCACTAAAGACAGCTTTAAAAATCATAAAGTGCATACATATTGTTATGCAAAGTATATGCAGAAGGACTTCAAAGAAATAATGGTTCGTTTTCACATAAGAGGAAAGAAAAGGGTCATAATAATAAATAACATTTCTGTAGCACATTTCTCTACAGCAGTGTCTGCATTTTTGATTGATACACAAAGTATGGGACTAACTTCCTTTGGCAAATTAGCATTGTGCCTGAAACATTAATGCCACTTAAAGACCTTGGAAATGCAGTTCTTAAAACACATACACCAAGACTAGCTACTTGCTAAGATTGAGGTTTTCAAAGGTTATTTGTAAGTGTCCACAGAGCCTTGTGCATTCACATAGTTATGTTTAAGTACAGTACTATGCCAAAGGGACTCAAGCTGCCGTAAATTGGCATGAAATCATTAATTCGAATACAGTTACACTGGTTTATGTTAGTGGAGAATCTGCCTTAACAGTTTCAATAATGTTAATACTTTGTATTGCTGACCATACCCACCACTTCACAACAGTATCAAGCCTACCCTACCATTTGATCAAATCATGGATAAGAGTGGACGGAATTCCTTGTGCATCCTGACTAGCCCAGCAAAGTCTTTGCTACTGTGATTTACCTGAAGGGAGATTGGATTCTAAATAACCTACTTCAGGGTTTATAAGGCTTTGTGTTCATTTTAATATGCCTGCATGAGACAGAGATTAAAGATAATCATTTGGAATTCTGTCAAAGGCTCTTCTTATTTTATAACACAAGAACAATTGCATATGATTTTCAAAGAAACACAGATCCCTCTATTTCAAACAGTTTCATTTCCTCTGGAAGGAAACTGTCTATTTATAGGAAGAAAAAACATACTGAAAGTATCGCTCTGACAATAGGGACTGTATATAAAATTATAGCACAGCCAGTCCACGTTGAGATTAGAATCACTTTCCCTCCTTAACATCAAGCTCTCAGGGCTCCCAGGAAAAAGCATTGAACATTTAAAAGACCCATTTATAGTGTTTTCAAATATAAGCCACCCTTTCTGATTAAAGAGAGAGGGGAAGAAGGTGACTTTATTCATCTTTGTATTATGCAGCATTCCAGAAGAGAACTGCTCACTCATCTTTTGCAGATATGCAGCTGGCCTTCAAAGGACAGTCCTTTTGGTTTGTTCAGAAATTCAAGTCAATATCCATTTTTTTTTAAGCATATATACTATAAATATCTACTAGCTTACTAATGACTCTTAGCCTGCTCTATATTGCATTTTTCTCTCCACAATTCTTACAGTTGCTGCCTGGAGTTCCTCCCAATGACTTTCATTTCAACTCCTTTCACTTTCACGCACTCCTTAAAAAATATTCTGGCTAATGTTTAAGTGCTCCTTTTAAGCAACGCTTACAGCTCTGCCAGTTGCCTTCAACACTGTGGCGCATATCTTGAAATCTTCCCCCAACTTCCATGATTCCTCTACTGCTACTCTGGCAAACCTTCAGAAGGTCTTACAGACCTGTCTTTTTTGATAACATTCCAAAAGCATCTGTCTTTCACAGCCATTTTGTCTTCATCATCTTTCAGAGCAATGTCACTATTTCCATGCTACTGGCAGGTCTGCATGACCAGACTTGAGTATTCCCTGTGTTGATAGAGTTTTCATTCTTTATGTGTTAATTTCTGTTGGGCAGACTTGTTCTTTCTCTCCTGCACTGCCTCTCTTACCTGGGGAAAGAATACTATAAACGTCTGTCAAATACCTATTCATTATCCCACTTCAGACTCTTCTTTGTAATGGCGTTGACCAAAACCCTTGCAACAGCCAGACCACTGGGTACTACAGTTTATATCATTGACTAACATCTCAGGAATTCTTGATTATTTGCCCATTTCCACCTGGTTTTAGCCTGGTTTCTAAGGAAAGTGGTCTTATGTGGTCATCATGCAGAGCAGGCACATACGTCTCTGTGCATGCTTCTGTTCTGTGCTTGGACACTGTCTAGGCCAGTTGAGTTTCGGGGTTTTGTGGGTTTTGTTTTGTTTTAATTTGAATTTAAAACAATCCTTGTATTCAAACTGTAGCACAAAGGAACTAAAGCCAAGGTGAGGTTTTTTCAGAGTACACTAAAACCGTATCTAAAAATAACCATGGCCCGAGTTATGGTAGGAGACTCAGGCTTAAAAAAATGTCAATATTTATAACTTTTACTTATATACATGTATCTAAATGAATACACATGTAAAGGATTCAGCTAGCAGATGTTCAAAAATGCCTAAGAATGCAGGGGGTTTTAAGTGAAAATAAATAAATAAATGCATTCTTATTTTGAAAGTCATAGCTGGAACTACCTCTGAAGTGTAAATCATACATTTAGTACATCTGCTATTATTATTATGGCAAGTGCAAGCAAACAGCCAGGTGGAGACTAGTCATTCTATATATAGTAATAGACGTGCATTTGTTTGCAACACTTGTGTGAACACATCCTGCATGACGATTTTTGCCAAATAGTATTTTTTTCATAAGCTTTCAATGCTTATTTTCTGAAAATCATACTTAAGTGATGATAGGCCACATCAAAACAAAAAAGAAAATTAACTTAGACTGAAGCAAAGTTTGTAATAAACTAGGTTGTTTAAATGGAATCATTTAGAAGAAGTTGAGTACATACTACTTGGACTTGTCCATCTTCTCCTATTTGGTGGATCTGAACCTGCTGAGCGTTGGCTAGTGCATAGTGTAGTGCTTGGGGTTGGTTCTGCTGGATCTCATTAGAAGCTGTAACTGAACTCTGCGAACCCTCTGAAAGAGAGACAAAAATCCAGCTTTGTTACATGTGTTTATCTCATGCCAGTGTCCAGGCAACAACAGATTAAGGCTTACAAACCGTGGAAAACAAACGCAGCCATTAAGTAGACACAGATCATTTGTACATTAATATTCTTACACATGCTTGTTGCTCACTTGTAGATTTGCTACAGATTCCCAAGGAGTTCCAAAGGCTATTTTGTCTCTGAGAAAGTGTATGTTTAAAAGCACCTTTTGAATCTAGATTAAAGATTCTACAACAGTAAAAGTCATACCACAGCAAAACCATGTACATTTCCTAAGCAGCAGCCCCTACACAAAGGAAGACACCTTTCCTGTTACCTTTGGAGAACAGGAAAACCATAGCATGACTTCAAGAGGATAATGATTTGCATTAGAAGCAGATGTATCATAGATTCCTTTCTAGGTTTTCCAGCTGCAAGGAAAATATCCTTATAAATCTGATGCTACATACGCTTTCCTAAAGACCAGGACCCCACTAGTGGGTAAATGTACCACGATATTCCATATATCCCTCTAGCAATCAGGAAAAAACCTGGAGCTATCAATCAATGACAGTTTTGCAGCACATGTGACAAGTTCAAGTAGATGCTGCTAGGAAAAAACCTTGAAATGTCCCAGTACCATACCAATATCATACTAGTATCACACTAAGATTCTGCACCAGTCCTGGTTTTCTTCCTTGGGTTTTTTAGTGTTGTTTTTTGTTTAACATAAGACATCTCGGAGAATGGGGATGTCAGAAAAGGCTTTTAGAATAATGCATTGTTTGAAGAAATACTTTTTACATACAGAGTTCCTCTAAATGATTTTAACATTTTTCTTTTACCATGCCACAAAAATACAATGGATGAAATCTCTGAAGCATTAAGAGGTTTACAATTTTTCTAAATTATTTATTGCTCTGACAATGCCTTCTATGCTACAAGATAACGTAAAACACATTAACATCCAACACGTAGTTAGATTCAGTACCACAGGGCTTTCAATCTCTCCAAGTACCGGAAACTATAATGAAAATATTTAAGAAACAGTGTCACTCTACTTCCATTGAACATTATTTCCTTACAAGATTTTATGTATTGCTTAAATAAGCACCAGATAGGCCTCATCCTGCTCAGAGATGACTGATGGTTGATATACTTTGATTTTTTAAAATGATTGTGTTTTTTAAACCAACACAGCAGGAAACCATGTGTTATAAAATTTTAATACATCTACTTAATACTTTAAGATTTATACTGAAAAGAGAATGTTAGTTTTGAAAGAATGAGCTTTATTCACTCATACAAGTATTTTAATGGAAATGTTCTTTAAAAAAATCGCCCATTCTCTGGGGTTTTTTCATCCTGTCTGCAAATGTTTGTGTAAGAAGATAATTTTGGAGTTTTATGTCTAAACATGGGGACTGGAAACTAACTCAAAACCACCAAGCTAGTATTTACTTACTTGTTGAAAGTTTAGTTGCTTAACAATTCAACTAGACAGCTCTAATGGATGTTAATCTGCAAGAACATAACTACAACCAGAACACTTTTGCAGTAATTGAGCAAAACATTAACAAGTACATGGGTTTGCTCTCTATTGGGCATCCATCTGTAATACTTTACATTTGACTAGGAGGTAACTGCAGAACATTTATAATTTCTTAAATATAGTCCTGCTGCTTACAGTGCTATTCCCGTATTTCCTGCACTGCTGTCAATAGAAGTCTGCTGTACAGAATTCCAGATGGTATTAACAAATCACAATTGCCAGAAAAGTCATGCACCTAGCAGGAAAAACTGCACCATCAACCAAAGAATAGTGTGATTTGTTCCAGTTCTCATACTAGATCATGCTTTCCATTGGCAGTGGCTTTGCCAAGGCCACCGAAAGGAACAGATACTCGAGAAAGATCATTTATCTAAGCCTCGTTGTCTTCCACTTTTTCTCTCATTTCCATTACTTTAGTCCTAATAATATTTTATGCAATTAATTTTCTGTATTTTTTACTAATAGCATTTTATGGATGCTAAATGGCTAAGTAAACCCACTGTTACTTACCTTGCTTCTTACTAGTCCAATTGTTGTTATTTTGTCTTTCCATCATGCTGCCCAGTCCCCCAATATATAATTCAACAGCCGAGCTGAGTTACAACTCAACCTCTGGTCAAACCATTGTCCAAGTATATAATCCTTCATTTCAATGTGTGTGTATACATACCCACATACAGGCATGACTTTACATACTCAAACACAGAGTATAAATGTAAATACACACCAAGAGCAAAACTGGACCTGGGACATAAGCAAGGAAACGTGTGTTTCACAGATTCAGAAACTCTCTAACAGCATCTTCCTGAACTTACACTTACAGTTACACAAACTGCAGTGCTGTACTTCTGAGAAAACACGAAGATTCATTTACAATGAGTATCTCTTTTCTGATTAAGTTATGCAATAAAACAGTACCAAAGAAATAAGAGCTGCAGCAGATACATATTTACATACATATTGTATGCATATATTGGAATACGTTTTTAACTATAAGGGCCAAAAGCCTTTATTTGTAACCCATCTTTTGCTTCAGAGATGCCAGAAATTATTATACTTAGCAGAGGTAGGAACAGGAGACACAGACTGAATGCAGTCATACTGTACATCGCACATGGCCACTTATAAATAGATCTCAGTTTGGCTTCACTGCAACAACCACAGTTGGGTTTTCTTTCTTATTTTGTTGGATTTTGGTGGGGTTTTTTTAATTCTTAGGAAGAAAGTAGAGAGGATTCAACAGTGTCTAAAATTAAAACATCCTTTATAAGTATTGTTTTTCCCCTCTAAATCTCTGACCAGACAAAAGTAATTATTTATCCACTTTTAAACATTCCCCATTAAAAACAAACACAAACATGAACAGCACACAGCTTGAATGGAGGATATGTCAACAGTTATAAATCACTATCATGTAAACTATCCAGCCTCACATTTACAACTCTGATATATTTGAGAATCCCTGGCACCAAGAAGCTACACAGCTGAACTTCTGCCTTGAAATTTTCCACTGCACTGGTTACAATGGGGTACTTTGACATGAACAAACAGCTTATACAGTGCTACTACCGAGGATGTTATCTATGATGTTCCCAAAGCACCCCCTGCTACACGGAATAGCCTGGGAGCTACCCATGGAATGGAGGATGCTGCACTGACTATTCCACAGGTGATTAAGTTATGATACAGGATGAAAAAAAAAACAACTGAAATATTCCTTCCTCCCAAGTTAAAATTGGAGCCACTACATTTTTCCTATTTGTTTACTGTGCGTGCTTATGAGCTGTAAAGTAAATTTAGCCTAAGTGAGTTTGTCTTCTCAGATGAATGTTCAAGAGTTGGCAAAATCACCCCCGCTGAAGCAGTTACTTCTGTCACACCTCTCAATGCTGATGTTCCTCAGACACCACTGAGCAAGATGAGATTTGTCAGGCAAACGTCATTTGTAACTGCTTCAAGAAGATGCGTGTTTAATTCTCAACCAAAATCAGTTTTAAAATTTTTCACTTCAAAAGCAAAACCTTTGGCGTTTTCTAATTCTTTCCTATTCTACTTCATAGTTACCAGTTCAGCATCTGGCTTCGCATTTTGGAAGGAAATATAGGAGGTACAGATTCTGTAGCAGAGGGATTCAGGCTTACTCTCCTTATGTGTTGTTATTAAAAAGCGTCTTCCTGCTGTATAGGCCCCCCAGCCTCACACTTCTACTTCTTGCTTCCTTGATGTGTAGTCCTAGCAAGGAAAGGTTAATAACCAGAGATAACAAAGCAGTCCTCAAACAAAAAGCAGGGAAAACACCATTACTGCACAATTAATAGAAATAAAACTGTACGTTGTAAACCATTACCTCTACCTCACTCATCCAGTGCTAAATGCCTCCAATTCTACTGGACAGCTTTGAAGATTTGGCTGAACATTCATTTTTGTATGTGACATCTCAGCATAGGCTGAGCACTTCTACATATAAATCCCAAAGTCATAGAACTAATTAAAAAATCCAACACGGAAAACTGTGATAACAGCTTTAACAATCTTAAGAGAAATTAAAAGAAAGGGAGAAGGCACTCTTCAATTAATCCTCTTCCCAAAAACCTCATTTCCTAGTGCCGTCCCTCTATAGACTGCTAATGTTTTTAAAATTAGTATCTAGCTAAATTATCATGGCAGTCATGTGTACAACTTGTCAGAAAAAGGAAAAGAAGACAAGAACACACATTAAGCACCAAACTGTTGGCACTGAGAAGAGCAGAGCAAACCACTGCAATTAATACCTCAATTCCAACAAAAGGCACCAGCTTCAAACAGAAGAGCCAGATAAAATAACTAAACCCATAATAGTCTGCTACTACAATTTTATGCAACCCATAAATCTTGTGGCTACTGTAGAGCTACACAGTTCACACGTAGAACAATCTCAATTAATATCTTTGGGGGCAAATGACAGAGAAAACATATTCATTCATATTTTCCTACCGGCTTCCTTAGACATGTTTTCGTCTGCAGATCCGTTCCTTTTGAGCTCTTAACACTTGAACAGTACCACAGAATTACAAGGCCAAAAGCTCGTAAGGCTACGTAAGGACTATGGCCTCAGCCTCCTGCTTTTCTACATCATCTGTGTAGCTAATTTTTCCGTATGATAAAAAGAGTAAAGAGGAAATCTGTTATCACTTTCAGCAGCACAACTCAAACCAAAGCCAGGGGCTACATAAACTTTTATGCACAACAAGCAGAAAAAGCTTTTGACGTATCCAACAAGTACATAAGAATGAAGCTCAATAGCAATCCTCCTTAGATGTAAATGCTCAGAGTTATTTATTGTGCATGCAATAACTCATAAAAATCACAAAACTGCAGGACAGCTGAGCTTGGAGGTGACCTGTGGAGATCACCTAATCTAATGGCCTTCCTCAAAGCACGGACAACATGAACTGACTGCTTCAACCTGCGTCCAGGTGGATTTTGACTGTCTCCAGGGACAGTGTCTCTGCAGCTTCTCTGGGTAACCCGTTACTGTGTTCAACCACTCTCAAGATCCCTCAGAGCCAGAGAAAACAAAGTCAGGTCCCAGGCAGGTAAGTTTTAGGCTACTACCTTTTTTGGGTTTGGGGTTTTTTTAATGACACAAATTAATTGCTTTTAAAAAGCAGGTCTGGAAAATCAAGTCCCCTAATTCACAGGGGAGGATGTCCAGCAAAGCAGTGACCAGACCAATTTTAAACTATTTCAGGAAAAATATTTTAAGTATTTTTTTTAATGATACATAGAGATGTTCAACAATTTTCTCTGCCAAAAAGAAAATACTAAGTTATTCTAGACTTTTAGCATACCAGCATTTAAGAAAATATTCTTTAACACAGAGAGCAGTACTCCTTTGCAACACTTGAAGGAAAGTGCCAATAAATCTTCTGCTGTATTACTATGATACGACATACAGAAAGTTATCTTGCTATTATCAGCCCCTAGAGGTAACTGATGCAAAATACTATTTCAAGCCAATCAAATACGACATTTTTGGATTTGAGCCTTTTTTGGTTTTTTTGTTGCACTTATTGGTCATAATTTTAAGTACTACAATCACGAGTTCAGAAGTGGAAAAACCCTACCAACCTCTGGAAAAAGTTCAAACAGGGAATGTGGTGTTCATTCATTCACACTCAGGACATTGAAATCAGATTTAAACCTCTTAATGATGCTTTCAGAACAGCTCAGCTGCACAGCAGACACTGTGATACTATGCATCTACTCAAGGCATCTGTTGTTGATGGCAACAGTAGATCCTAAGAAGCGCTCTCTGAAGACTACGGGAATATCTTCTAGGGTAAACATTAAACCTTCCCTGGGAAATGATCATAATTTAGCTAAGAACAATGGGTTTAAGCTATTCTGCAGATAGCTTAGGTTTATCATATTTAACCTGGTAAAAGAAGGAAGGGTGTGTGTAAATCTTCCCCCCACGTGGCATCCTCTGAAATGCTCGCTTACAAGAGGTGAAATGAAAGCACTTTCCTACTGAACATATGCAACACCACTGGTGTTTCTGAACTACCAGAGAACCTGCTGACACCCTTACCTTAAAGTGCCCAGTGACCTAGATTGAGTACTAACAGAACCATGCTTCAACTGATCCAACTAAATCATTACAGCTTCTCTGAACAGCAGCCAGTCTTCTGCTGAGTTACTGGAGCCAAAGCTTTTCAGAACAGCTCAGAGGACATTGTGCAAAGTACTACATGGCATATCCCTGCAGCCTTCACAGTGCAGACACAACACAGTGGCCATTCACAATCCTTTAAGAGCTTTTTTTTTTTTCATTATATATTTTGTGCAAAGCAGCTACTACACTCCACCCAACAGATAAGCTACACAAATGCCTGTAATATGTGTATTGACATGGAGCAACATACTACTCAGTGAAACCAAACAGGTAGTCTTCCTCAGAAAGCAGCAACCACAGTGGGGTGAAGACATGACATAAAGCACCTAGAAGCTGATCTTAATAACTATAACTAACAATAGTGGGAAAGACAGTTTCTCAAGTAGCTGTATTTCAGACTGTTAACGGCTCACCTTAAATTGCCCCCTGAAACAAATGCTACCATAAAAACTGTCTGGGTTCATATGTAACACTTTAAAAAGCCATATTTGACAGCTATGTTGTCATAACTGTGAAATACAGACCTCCTTTGCTTCAGAGCTGTGAAATATTACTTCTCTTTCTTG